TTAGACAATGATGGCCCAATGCATATGTGAATTAATATCTAATGCAGGGAGGTTGATTCTTTTGATACAAGAAAGAAGCTACCATTCTGTGTTGGTCTTCTTTTGCGGTTACTCAAGAAGAACCATCGTGTATATGTCACTTGTACTACTGGTTTTGATCGATCCCCTGCTTGTGTGATTGCATATTTGCATTGGATGACAGACACTTCCCTCCATGCAGCGTACAACTTCGTCACTGGACTGCATTCTTGCAAGCCTGACAGGTTCTTCTCATTAACTGCCTCTGAGCATTTCTATGACAATGTTAGCCTGATGATATAGAGTTTGTGAAGCTTAAGTTTTCTTAGGCTAATTAATACCAAGGAGCATGCTTTGTAAGTTTATTACCAGTTTAGATTGGCAGATATTCTAGCGTACTTAAAAGTTCTTGGATTGTTTCCGTTCATTTCTCTATGTGCATAATGTCATCTTTTTCAAGATTGATACGTATCTCCTAGAGTATATGTCACTGAAAATCCAATGATGACTAAATCGAAGCTGAGGCATGTACTACCTCAAGTTCCCGATCTGCTATATATTTTGGCCATTGGCTGGAATGGCATAATATCTGTCATTTTGTTATTGCATCATAACCTTAAAATGCACAGCTTCAGCTGTAATGCTTCTTTCCTAATTTTCTTTTTTATGCATCTTCTAATGATTAAATCTCTATTTTAAGGCCTTATCATGCTAAGATTAAAGAAATCTTCTCCTCATCCTCAAGAATCCAGAGAACACCCCGTTTTATGGTTTACTTCTTACAAGATAGTACTTTGTATTGAGTGCATACCCTTTTCATCAACCTCAACTTCATGTATTTGGTTGCAGGGCAGCAATTGCTTGGGCAACATGGGATCTAATAGCAAGGGTGGAAAGTGGTAGACATGATGGACCTGCAACCCATGCTGTAACCTTTGTCTGGAATGGGCATGAGGTAATCAATGATTTCTTACTTTAAAATTACCTTATAGCAATATGATGGTTCCTGCAGTGAAGAATAGAGAACTGAACTTTTTGTTTCAAACTTTGATAGTCCATTACGGACAGCTAATTTCTGGAAAGACATGTTGATGCTTTTCCCTTATTGCTTTCATTTGTTGAAAGCATGATACTCCATAACTGCAGCATCTTATCCATTAGTGCAGGATTTCTATCCATCATTGCATTAATTTCTGACTAAGTTGGTGTCTGATAACAGGGGGAGGATGTTTACTTGGTTGGAGATTTTACTGGAAACTGGAAAGAACCAATAAAGGCAGTCCATAAAGGTGGCCCAAGATTTGAAGTTGAAGTTAGACTTCCACAAGGAAAGTGAGTCTTGTTTCTTTCGAAGTAGTAATGGGCTTGAGAGAACAATTGAACTCATCAAAAACAATTCTTTTACATTTTAGACATTCAATTGGGGAAGAAATGTACAAGTTCCTTTACAAACCATTGCATGTTGTTTTGAGTATGTTATTCCCTATCAAACCCAACCCTTAACTGGTAATGCAAGGAGCTTGAATAAATTTAGTTTAAATATTGGAATTTTCTGTCTCTTAATTTTCTTAATTTATTTTCTCCTTCTGGATTGTAATTTATTAACACACTCTGTCCCCGTTTATTTATATTCTTTTGGTTTCTGTTGCTCTGAGCTCAATGTATTTTTGGCTCTTAGGTACTACTACAAATATGTAGTTAGCGAGCAGTGGAGGCATTCAACTAGTTCGCCAACTGAAAGGGATGAGAGAGGGAATGTTAACAATGTAATTGTCATTGGTGACATTGCCAGTGTTAGGCCTTCAGCCCAACAACAAAAGAAGGTGTGCCCTAAACTAACTATTGACCTTTCACATAAGAAAATGGGAGAAGACATTCTATAAGCAGTATGATTTCGTTTTTCCACTTCCATGTATTTTGTATGTGTCTAACTAATTTAACTATTAAATTCAGTTAGTTAGCCATCAAGACCCTAAGGTCAATCTGAGACTGGTGGATCTGTATTTGAGGCTGATGCTGATACAGAAAGCAAAAAATCTATGGACTTTTTTTAACCAATTCTATATTGACTGTGAGTGTTGGTGGGAAATTTCATTTTACGGATCCATAACATGGAAGACTGAATTCGTGGCTTGTACCCTTGTTTCAGGATGCAAATATTGTGAAGGTCATCGAGAGGCCATTGACTGAAAATGAGCGGTTTATGCTCGCTAAAGCTGCTAGATGTGTTGCATTCTCCGTGTGTCCAATAAAGCTGGCCCCAAAGTAGCTGGTCAATCTACTCTTTTGGTCTTGAGTTAGTGTACGAGGCTGATAGCTCTTGATGGCACTTGAAGGCAGACCGCTTCATATTTTAGCATCCATGTTGGGGGCAAGATTTCAAGGTACCAAATGTGGAGTTATAAGTTTTTTGCATTCGTCATTCACAAGATAAGAGGTGAATCTACTTGAAAGGAAAAGTGAAGCAAGAAATGGAAGATAAGTGTGTGACTTTAAATAGGATTGGTGCAGTTTTGAAATGGATTTCTCACAAGGTTTCTGTCAGGTCTGATGGGTTCTTACAGTTTGGCTACAGATTCTGTTCTGATAGTAAGAGTTATACAATCTATAGCTACTGTGTCATTCACTTTTAGCTCGTAAGTTTTCATCCAGCAAATGTAACAGGAAACCCTGATGTCTCTTTCTTTATTCTTATCTTTTTACGCATGAGAGACAACAAATGTTTTATTATCTCGAAATATCATGGGGGAATATGGCTGTCACTTAAAAAGCTTTCCGGTTAATGTATATAGTTCAGCCAAATGCAGTCACTTGTACAGCACTCGGAGGAGTTGGAGGGGCTTTGACCAGACCCCTGGGTCTGAATCTCTTCATTCATGTCCATAATCTGCAGAATGGTTATGTTCTATCCAGCTAGTTACTGGTACTCTGTTTGAAAACCTGCAGTGTGATTATTTGAATGAACTGCTTTTCATCAAAATCAAGAGTGATGCGGTGCTGCCAATCATATGAAGTGACCAACAATAAGGGCTCGAGCATATTCTTGCATTTGAGAATGATGAATAATGTCAATGCAATTTTCCTGCTGATATGTTTGTCCCATTTTGTCGATTGCTAGTATTCCGGACCGAGTAACATTTCAGCAATAAGGCTTTATTTTTTTTTTGTGCTCTTGCCCTTTAAATGGGCCTAGGAATTACCTCCTCCTGTTGGTTGGGCCTGGAAATGCGCACTTGTAGTGTCGTCAAAGTGTTTCTTTCTTAAAAAGTAAATCAAAATAAAAAGCGGCCCTTCCGCCACCACCCCACCCCCCCAAAAAAAAAAAAAAAAAAAAAAAGAAGAAGAAGAAGAAGAAAGAGAGTTATACTAGCAGCAGCAGAGGGCGAGGGGGAAATGACGAATGGATGTTGAAATTATGACAGAACTATGTTGACATGTTGAGGTGGCCATAAGTTTACATGCTCAATCTCACACCTTTTGCGGGGGAATGGATAATAAATATGATGCCACTTTTAAAATGTGCTTCCAGCTTCTCGCATCTGCATTCTGCAGTCGCCTCCTTTCCTATACTCCGAAATCCATTCTTCTCCCTCCCTACTACAGTTTGGAGCCCGAGATGAGAAACCATTTCTCATCTCTTTGATTTTGGTGCTATCTTTTTTCCTTTTTGGGAAAGAAGCTATTTGAATTTCTCTCTTCTTCTTTCTTTCTTTTTTTTTTTTTTAAAAAAAAAATATATATATGTCGTTAGAAGCATGGCTGAACTGTCTGTGATTCAAGATTCTTTTAAGTCTGCGCATATAATATTATGCTCCGTTTGGTCTAGGGAATGCTCTGGATAAACCAAACACATATCCCAGAATGGTTGTTAGCATGAATGAATGTTCTTTATTTCCAGGGAAGGGTAAAAAGCCTTATTTATTTTTTCTTTGAAAGCAAACAAATCTCTCTTTTAATCTATCCTCAGAATTCTGAAAGGTGCAGACCCTCAGCCACATCACAGGCCAGAAATGGACGCATTCCTAAAGGAAACCACTCAAAATACGCGGCAGCAGATAAGTAGCTTTACATCCATGAAATGAACTACTAGGAACCATGTCTTCCAGATAGGACCTTATCCCAGCAATCGATCCTTCATTCATCACCCGTCTCCCCTGCACCATTCGATTCTCTTCAGTTTTTTTATCCAACTAATTGATTTCGATTTTCAGCCCACCCCCTCTATGCCTCCTCAGGCATTAATTGTGTCCATGCATTCACTCACCTCCTGGATTAATCCAGACACCCGTCATCACACCTCTTCACTTGAGACCACCATTTTCCCCACTTTTAGCTAGCTAGGGAATTGTTCTCAATGTCGTGGTACAGAAAGTGACCCATCTTATCTACGACGAGTAGAAAGAAAGAAAGAACAAGTGCGTGATTAGTTCAATTTTAACCCGATTCTGGATTGTTGCTTCCCAGAAGATTGTTCTAGGTTGCGTAGAAATGAGATTAAACTTTGCAGATGGGCATCCCAAGTTAATTAGTCCCGGATTAGATCGCCATAGGATGTTGCAGGTCAAACGTTAATTTGTTATAGGAAAGTGGTGACCCGTCCAGAAGAAGAAATAACATTACCGTATGAAAACTAGCCAAACCAACAAACTTACATTGGCATTAACTTCATAAATAGCCCTTGTGAACGTACATTATCAATGTAGTCGGGAAATAGGAATATGTTGGGGTCATGATCATCTTCATGCCAGTAAGGCCCGCCTAAAAATTTCCCCCAGAAGTCAGCAAGACATTTGATTTGTTGGGTGATTAGTTTAAGCAAATACGGGTATATGTGGAGGCAGAAGGGGAGCAGAATTGAATGAATCTCCAACGTCCAAACCTCATCCTCAAACGTAGAAGCTCTCGTTTCCCCGGCTTTCGCTTTCGTTATCCGATGGCTTTGTATGATGCACGCACGCTGCTAGTGCAAAGAGAGAGAGAAAGAGAGGACATGCATTGCATGGTGATTGATTGATCATAAAGGAAAGGGGAGGGTTAGGTACGTAGGTATAAAGCCACACCACAGAAAGCACCATTGGCACAATGTCGACCGCTTCCATCAACGGCTGGTCCTTCGCCTCTGTCTCCGCCAACGCCTCTGCCCACCAGAATTCACTCAAAACATCATCCACATTACGACCCTCTGTTTTTGCCAAGCTTGAATCATCATCACCTTCACTGCCTCGTCTAATCAGAGACGAGCCTGTTTTTGCTGCACCAGCTCCCGTCTTCACCCCAAATTTGGTACTCTTTTTTTTTCTTTTTCACGCTTCTACTACTCTGTGGTTCCTATTTCAACAAGCGACAGTATTATGGTGTACCGTTGTTTTTTCAAGCTGACCCACAATTGATACCTCTTTTGGTACTCTTTCACGACCAACATGCGTACGGCAACTTTTTGTTTTTAGGCAGAAATTAGCCATGCACGTCAAATTGTAGTACTAATCATTTATGGAATGGGAATTACATGTCAATGCCCATATGCAGCAGAATATGCCCAGAACAACACTACCAGATTTGTTTCCTACAGTCTTGCCCTGTGTACATCTACATAATTTCCACAAAAATGTTTCTGTTTCTAAATACTGCCCACACGTCATTCTTCTGATGTCAACTAAACATTTCACAACTGTTATGGAATGGCTCCCACACTCTGAGTTAAGCAAACCCTTTTTATTGTCTTGCTAATTTCTATAGCCTATTTTTCTTGGGACCATTACCCAGGCGGTGATGGCAAAATGGAAGGGTCAATAAATTATCCTATTGAAATCACGAATGGTTTCTGCATTTTAGAGTTGTCTTCTTCATGGCAGTTAACATGAACTAGGCGCTCCCAAAATCCACATACATGATCATGTCATGGTTAACAAACATTAGATGATAGTTATTGAGTATGAAAGCAACATATAACTACATCTCACGAGTCACGACTGCATACAAAAAACTTTTGCAAAGCAGTTTCTTGATTCACGTTAATGATACTGGTTTAAAGCTTGTGACAATTTGAACTCTTTCTGTCTCTTCCTTGACATTTGCCTATTCAAACTTTCTCTTCTCTTTGTACCAGTTAAAGAATAAACCTTTTTTTTTTTGTTTGTGGAAACAAAAAAAAGAATAAACCTTTTTTTGCACCGGGAAATTGCAGAGGGAAGGTATGTCAAAAGAAGAGTATGAGAAGGCCATTGTCGGACTTCAGAAGCTTCTCAGGTTTGCCCATCTTTAAACATGGACAGAATTATCCACCTATGATTTCTCAATAGTGATCATTTGATCTTTTTTAAAAAGCAAGTACAGATGAATACGTAGCCGCCTGCAACCATTCGTTATTAAGTTCTTGATAGTACAAAATAGTGTGAAGTGCAGGACTCAATTACTTTTTATTCTATGTTCTGATCTTGAACAATCCCTTCCCCCCCCTGTTCTCTCCCTCCCGGCGGGTCTAAAAACAGGATACTCGGGAGTAATACAAAAACAGAATATTGATCTTGTTGTAGCAAGGTAGCTCTTGTAAAGAATGGCAGAAGAAACACGGTACACGTCTCACAGCATTAAACTTGTTTTGCAGCGAAAAGGGAGGGTACGGACCCGTTGCAGCTGCAAAAATTGAGCAAATCACTGCAGAGTTGCAAACAACTGACACCAAAGCCTTCGATGCAGTCGAGAAGTTGAAAACAGGCTTCATTCGGTTCAAAAGGGAGAAATATGAGTAAGAACAGATAATTAGCATTCGTTAAGTCCTTAGTAGTGTTGCACCTCAAGAAATTGAAATTCGATCGCGTCACGCGTTTATGTAACATTTTTGTACGAGCCAGGACAAATCCAGCCTTGTTCGGCCAACTTGCTAAAGGCCAGAGCCCAAAGGTACACAACTATATATGGATAGGATCAATCTTTCTATCGGATACTTCTGCTAGTATTGCATACTTCAGCTACTCCTCAACCTGGGAGTAAATGAATACTTGTGTAACAGTATATGATCGTGGCATGCGCGGACTCTCGGGTTAACCCCTCACTCATTTTGAGCCTCCAACCAGGGGACGCATTCATCGTCCGAAGTGTTGCAAATTTGGTTCCTCCATATGATCAGGTTACCTGAATTAACAAGTCTAGTTCTTCATGTACCCCGCTTAGAGATTCACAAATTCATGAATTTTATATCTCCAACTCGGTAATTATTTTGTTTGTTTGTTTTTGGTGGGTGACAGTTGAAGCATTCTGAATTTGGGGCTGCAATCGAATTTGCAGTTTTGCATCTCAAGGTGAAGCTTAAAAACTCGTACTTTCTTTCGAATCTCCCCCTCAAAGTATAAAAACTTTAGTGAAAAAACTGGAATTCATCGTCTAGCTATACATTTCTTCTTCTTCTTCTTCTTCTTCTTCTTTTTTGAGTTAAAAGGGAGAGCTTGCAAACTCTATGACATGACAGCTTCTTGTCGACAGTTTGATCTCGTATGCTCTCCTTGGACTCTCCAAATGTGCACTCCCAACTTTTTCTGCATTTCTTTATATTAACCAATTTTCACTCCACAGGTGGAGAATATTGTGGTCATCGGGCACAGCGCCTGTGGAGGGATTAAGGGCCTGATGTCTATTCCAGAAGATGGAACCACCTCCACGTAAGTTTCCATTCTTCTTTTTGACACTTCAAACAGTAGTGGCATTTCTCAAGTTCAGAAAAGGATAAAACGTGATGACCGTATACGTAAAACAATGTAAAAGAGAGAGCAGGAAAGCTCCAACTAATGTTGGAGAAGCACCTGCCCCATGGTTTGCGACTTTGCGCCACCACCCTCTCTGTTGGTTTTTGCAAATTGCACGCAAAATCAACTAGAAATTGAATAATAGTGTACTAAAAGTGCATTCCTTACTCAAAACAAATATTGTAATTTGCAGTGACTTCATTGAAGATTGGGTCAAAATTGGTTTACCGGCGAGGGCAAAGGTGAAAACAGAACATGGCAGCAAACCTTTACCTGAGCAGATTGTACTCGCTGAAAAGGTATTTACTATTTTAGTGCAGCAACCATGGATATTGGCTTCACTTAAACTTGCTTCTGTTTGAAAGAAAAAAAAAGAAAGAAAAATGGCTTCATGTGGGTAACATGTTAATGGAACATGGTGCAGGAGACTGTGAATGTATCGCTTGGAAACTTGCTAACATATCCATTTGTGAGAGATGGGTTGGTGAAGAGAACTCTAGCAGTGAAGGGTGGTTACTACGATTTTATTCAAGGATCGTTTGAGCTCTGGGGACTTGAATTCAACTTTTCTCCATCAGTATCTGTATGAACTCAACCATAATCAGTTACCACATCTTTGTTCCCTCATGCGGAAGCCATGCTGTATTTTCCTCCTAAAAGGGCAAAATCATAACTAATGTGTAATCCAGATCTTCAGTGCCTCAGCATCTTATCCTGTAGTTAAAAGGGTTTCCTTTCTTGAAAATAAAGAGGACTACTAGCCCCCTTCCATCATCTATAGTTATAATTCACTTGCATTCTTCAGTGCCCCGGTATCTTATCTTGTAGTAAAAAAGGTTTCCTTGCATTTGCTAGGTAAGGGACGTCGCTACCGTACTCCACTGGAAGCTCTACTAGGTAGGGACAGTAACGGCCATTCTGCAGACGATGTCCTCTTCATTCTGTAGTTTGTATTACTACCACTACTACTGTATATAAACAACAGTTGCATGAAATATGATCTCCAATTCAGTTGTAAAATCCAATGCCGCCCCAATAATACATACCATGCCCCATTATTGATGCAATCATATCTTTGGAAAACCAATTCTGGAAGGTGGAAACCGGAATTGTTTTTATTAATACTGGTATTGGGTACGGGACCCAACAGTCGGAACCCACTCCGGGAAGAGATGCATGCGCGTAAATCCACTTATACATCATGCAACTCCTGCTTTGGCTCTAACACATATTTGCTTGTCCTTCGGATGCTACGTTTTTCACCGTCAGCAAATGTTGGTACTATACTTTTGGCACAACCCAAATCGACTTATGTTTTTTTTTTTTTTTATATACGATAGATTATCCTACGTAAGAGGGAGGGGGAGGACCTGAAGAAGTCTCAATATAATATGGAGGGAACTGAATCACCATCGAACCAAACGAATGTACTACGCACTCGTCTTGAACCCTTACCTCCCATCCCACCAAACTTTAATGCATTGATGGTGGCCAACAACCCAAAGGCTGGTGGTTCCAAATCAACTGATACACGAATCGAAATGCTGATAGTAAACTTGACAGCGAAATGGGCAGATACAGGGTTATCGGTGAGGCGTATCTTGTGCTTGTGTGGGTGTGGGGTACTTGTTTTGAAATCATATGGTATTGTTACATCTGACTGCATTGCAGACAGACAACATGAAGAAAGAAAGAAAAAATTCATGAATAGTCTTATAATAATGGACAATTGCACCAATTCACACATCCTAAGTTGCCAAATTAACTCCGGGATCAACTCGATGATCCAGCTCTTAGTACTCAGCCACGACATTTAGATCCTCAAGCAAGCGATCCAGGACCCCATGTTCTACACCTCTTTTACTAGTTTCGACCCCGGAAGACTCTCCCTGATAAAACTGGAGAATGCTTGGGTAGTCCTCAAGCAGCAGCTTAAATTGTTCTGCCTTAACCGCTTACGAGTTAAAACCATGCGGACTGAGGAGTTCAAGCGTAACATGACAGCCATACCCAAATTACATAATTCACTTCCAGCAGCAAGTTAGAAAAAACGCCTTGGTCTAGCTGTAGATACTTGTTTACTGCAACATATCTTAAAACCAACAAATCCCGGTCCACATGCCTTCTCCTATACCCTTTTTGTTTCCTGATCTTATATCTTTAACTTCTTTGGCCAGCACAGAGTAATGATAAACGCTTTCGTTAGCTTTTACAAAGTAAATCTACTTCTACTCCCCTATGACCAGTATACACCACTTGGAGGAAAAGAAGCTCAGGAAGTTTCTCTTTAAAACTTCTCTTCTGCTTTCCATGCATTCTTAGGAAATAGTGGCTGGAGCACCAGCAAGCTAACGTAGCTTAAGGTAGCTCCATACCTGAACAGTGCACCACCAGACTGATGAAGCAACTAAAAGCACAAAAATAGCAGTATATGAATGTGCCATGAACAATATCTGAACATCAGAAATACTAGACACATAAGATAATCAAGTTTCCTAGTGGTATACATATTCTCAGGGGCGGTCCTGATACATCATGTCTCATCATCAGGCTTTGGTTCGAGGGTTACAGGGATCTTCTCTATGTGATCAGCGCGCAGCACTTCAACAATAACCTTGGATCAGATTAAGTGCCAAGTCTTAGCGCACAGTAGTGTATGCAATCATTTAGTCCAAAAAACTGCCACAATCAGCAGAGAGAGAGAGAGAGAGAGGCAACATAACTCTGCACTTACCTCTTCGCCCACTTTACATTGATCAAGAATTCTGTACAAATCACTACCATTAGAGACCTTTTTCCCGTTAACAGATGTTATAATATCTCCCAGGATAAGTCTACCAAAAGAATCACGTTTAGTTGGCTGGAGACCCTACAAAAAATGAATTCACTGATTTGATTTAGAAACTTTTGTCAAATGGGTAAACGGAAAACTCAGAAGACTCCCAATAACAGAAAGAGAGGCAGAGTCAGCAGTAGCATGAGAAGAGAGGAAAGAATTCACTTACTGCTTTTCCAGCTGGACCATTTGGAGGAGCATCCAAGACAAGCACCCCACTAACTCCCAGTTGTTCTACAGACTGATCAGGTGCAAACTTGATTCCTAAAATTGGTCTAGTGACTTTCCCAAACTTCACCAATTGATCAACAATGCCACCAACCTGCAGAACTTTTCCCCTTGAATAAGTGAATGGGTGACTTCTAAATGATACGCTTTTTGGACATTTTACCTTGACATCTATGTAAACCCGTCTAGTTGTAAACTCATGACCTTAATGACCAGTATGAACTCACAGTGTCAACAGGAATTGAGAATCCAACCCCAGAAGATGCACCAGATGGAGAATATATAGCTGTATTTATCCCAATAAGGCTTCCCGAACTATCAAGAAGTGGTCCTCCGCTATTACCAGGATTTATTGCAGCATCTGTCTGGATGACATCCTGAATTGGACGGCCACTAGCAGCAGAATTTATTTCTCTTCGAAGCCCACTACATTTAAACACTTGCAACAATTTAGAGAAAGCTTATGCAACATGAGTGTCCTTTAACTAAACTATTCCAGATAGAAAATACTTAGGTCATATACTCCCATAACTCGTACCAAATTAATAATTGTGGAAATTGATGCAATATTGTTGTCATTGATATTTAATACCCGGCCTTCAGATGCATCTCACAGACTTAGAATGAGGAAATCCCCTAGAATAATGTTAAGGATAAACTTGAGGTGACTGTCATTTATCTTACTTACTCCATCCAAATTTCAATTGTGGTACGACACACACCTTGCACATAGTGAGATCCTATCTTTTAGGAGAGGACAACAGTTAAAAATATGGGAGCCCAAAAGACCTGCATACATTCTTTATTAAGAAGCTAAATCCTACCACGTTTACTTCTGTTCAAAATGAAAAAAAGGGAAATAAAGAAAGAAAAGTGTATGTCCGTGCAGTAAAGGTTCAGCGATTTTCTGCCAAAGGAAAAGCTTACATGAATTCAACTTTGACAAAATCAACTTCTGAATAAGTGAAACAAGTGCAAGCATACCTGATGACACCAGTTGTAAGTGTATGGTCAAGGCCGAACTGCAAAATGAGATGTATGAGCATATAAATCACTAAATCACTTTGTTAAACTAGAAGAAAGTGCATTAAACTAAACATGGATGCAGGTGAAAAATTTAGATAGCCTGAAGATGATCACTATATGCAGGGTTAGGAACTGAACTTGGTTTTGCCTGGTTGAGGGAATAATAGTTAACAAGAGAAACCTAAAGAGCTGTAACATGGCCCTGCAGAACCCAAAGATGGGTGTCCAGCATTTATAAGGCCTTGATCATACTGTGCTTCTAATCTATGCCCATATTTTGAACAAATATCACACCACCAGGAAAAACACATCTGGCATAAGTGGAAGTTGATATCTTTCCATTGGTAAGCCAAAACAAATTAGTGTTTTCCCCTTCTCTTTTAAGCTCAATAAGTATAATGAAATTCAGCTACCTTTGAAGAAGAACAAACATTTCCAGCAGAAAGCAATATATCTGGCCGAACAAGAATCTTTGGTAGCAATGGAGAAAATACTTACAGGATTACCAATAGCAAAGACCTTTTGACCAACAAGTAAGTCACCAGACACACCAATTGGAATAGGTCTCAGCTTGTCTTTTGGTGCATTAATCCGCAGCACAGCGACATCTTTATCTTGGTCGTACCCAACAATTTTTGCATCGTAAGTGCTCTGGTCTGCCAGTGTGACCCTGAATTATAACAAGACACTATGAGGAAGAAAAAGTTGTCCCGGAAAAAGTTTTATCTGCCTGCAATTTCAAGTGTTTCGAGGATACGACTACTTTTGGCTTTCAATGATTACAGGGTTGTCACAAAAATATGCTCTACATCCTCACACTTACTGATATCAATACATATCCTTCTTTGAGATAATAGAACAAATAGCTATTTACAGATACAAGCACAGTAAAGCCCACAGCGTGCGTTCAATATATGTCTAGCCAAAAAGAAGAAAAGAGCCCTCAAACTCAAAGCAGCAAACAAGGATGTGCTGATGCGAAGTAACTAACCTGAGATCGGATGCACCTCGAATCACATGAAAGTTGGTGACAATGTGACCCTGCTTATCCCACACAAAGCCCGATCCTGACCCTTGAGGTACCTCAAATATGTCCAGTGTGAATGCGTCCTGCCTGAAACACACATGGGTGCTAATCAATCAAAACCTGATCGACCACTTAGAACTGTCAAGGAAAACTAAACCGCAAACGAAAGCAATGACCAAAATATAACATCATCATCACTTCCAATTCAAGAACCCAATTCCAGGCCTTCATTGTGGCACATGAATCATCAATGACCCAGATTGCATTTCGAACAGATATGTAAATGAAAATAAATTCTAGTACTAATCCCAATAGTTGGAGAAGGTGCAGCATTTACTTGGCAGCGAGATTGGTGATGTAGACAACTGAAGGTGTGTTTTCCTGAAAAAGACGAACTGTAGCCAGCTCATCACTTTGCAACTTCCTGGGCGTTGTTGTGCTTACGAAAGCTGAAGCCGGAGCAACATCGGAGAGAAATAGAGAGCAAGATAAGGCCAGAGAAGCGCAGGCTACAAAAAGCGAGTCCAATAGTTGCTTTTTGATGCTCGATTTTTCGTCGGACTCGTCAGAGAGGTAGCTGGAGCTCGAGCTAGAATTGCTGCCAAGAGCGCAGACAATTGGAAGGAGAGGACTAGCACTACTTGTACCAGTACCACTGGCCAGGCTTCTCCGGTAATAGAGGGCCCTAGTAGATAGGGTGAATTTGAGTAGTATGGAGCTGGGAGGAGCTGAAAGGCGCGAAAGCGACGGGGTGTTCGTGGGCGTTGCAGTGACAAATGAATGGGCAGAAGAAGCAGCCATTCCCCTGCGCAGAGAGAGAGAGAGAGAGTCTGCTTGCTTACCTCAGGTTCACATAGTCTAGTAGTAGAGTATT